AGTAAAACTATTGCGGTTTCTGTGCTGAATTTCAGTCTTAAGTGAAATTTTTACTTTTTTATATTGAAACTCAATTTCAATATATAGCAAAACTAACTTTAGCTGTGAGAGTTTTTCTGGTAAAGAGTCTACTTTTAGTGGTGCTTTTTCATTTTATTGTTTGGGCATTTCTGTTTCTCAAAGGGCAATTCATGTCCCCATTGTTTTGGTCTTTATAGAATTAGCCGCGCTTTGTATAGTATAGCATTGCTATTGGTTTGCGGTAGGAAAGAAAGGAATTCACACACACACACACACACACAACCATTATATCACCACCTCATCCATACTGTCACTCTGGTTCTAAGGATAATTCAATACAATACACAATTACACAAAACATTAAATACATTATACAGCAATGCAGAATGAGAATAGCTCCAGCTATAGAAGACTATATCCCAGCAATGCATTATACAGCAATAGAGAATCACAACCGGCTCTAAAGGACTACAAATCCCAGCAATACATTATACAGTAATGGAGAATGGCATCCGGCTACAGAGGACTACAAATTCCAGAAATACATAATACAACAATGGAGAATGGCAACTTGCTATAGAGGGCTACAAATCACAGCAATACATTATACAGCAATGGAGAATGGCATCCGGCTATAGAGGACTGCAAATCCCAGCAACACATTATACAGCAATGCAGAATAATATGAAGCTACATACTCTGTGTTGCTCACCAGTGCTGTGTGGCATTTCAGGAGGCTGTGCAGGGTCTGACCAGGGCTGTATGGGGTCTCAGGAGGCTGTGCAGGGTCTGACCAGGGCTGTGTGGGGTCTCAGGAGGCTGTGCGGGGTGTCAGGAAGCTGTGCATGGTCTGACCAGGGCTCTGCAGGATCTCACCATTGCTGTGGTGAGGTTCCCAGAAAGTGCAGGACCTTACAGCAGCTGAACCTGTTAAAAAAATGTAAAGGGCCGTATTGCCCTTTAGTAGAAGGCATTTTCACAAGAACTTGTGACAATGCCTAGTATCTGCACTGATACCAATACTGGTATCGGTGCTTCCTTAATCCAATCCATCCCCACTATAGGCATTAGACCCCCCCTACATTATCCCTATAGGCAGAAGATCGCCACCATAGGGGTGTACAGGGACAATGAGGGCATGCTGGGACTTGTAGTTCCCTGTGTGATATGTGTGTGTGTGGGGGGAGGAGGTGTACAGGGACAATGAGGGCATGCTGGGACTTGTAGTTCCCTAGGTGATATGCGGAGGCTGTACAGGTACAATAAGGGCATGCTGGGACTTGTAGTTCAACAACAAGTCCGAAAATGGCCTCATATCCCTGTACACCACATATCACCCTAGGAACTACAGGTCCCAGCATGCCCTCCTTGTCCTTTGTTGTAGAAATTTCATTATATGGACTTATGTGGATATGACAAAGAGGGACTGTTGTGGAAATTTAATTATATGGACTTATGCAGACATTTTTATATTAAGATGTGTGTGTGTTCTATAGGTTGTAATTTGTCTCCCTGTGTCGGATTTAACCCGAGGGACGCTTTAGCAGAGCGTACTTGGGTTGAATCGGGCCCAGCGGTAAAACCGTCAGTATGAAAACCTGCTTATGGGCTTAGAGACGTGTTTGCAGTGTATGTACACGTTTGCCGGTTTGTGAGTATCAAGCGCAATGCGCTGGGCGTCCGGCGGACGTCTATGCACTTTAGCGAAGCGGAGTCCGCATAACGAGAAATACATATTATATTTCTATTGAGGCTGCGCTATCCTTTTCTGGATATATATCTGCTTTTATGAGAAGACTTTGATTTGTGCCTTGCTGGTGTACTGGTACCATACATTGGCAATAGCATTAGCAATGTTTGAGCTGCCATTTTGTATTAGTTCAACCACCATTTTATTTTCTGTGAATCAAATTTCAGTAAAACTATTGCGGTTTCTGTGCTGAATTTCAGTCTTAAGTGAAATTTTTACTTTTTTATATTGAAACTCAATTTCAATATATAGCAAAACTAACTTTAGCTGTGAGAGTTTTTCTGGTAAAGAGTCTACTTTTAGTGGTGCTTTTTCATTTTATTGTTTGGGCATTTCTGTTTCTCAAAGGGCAATTCATGTCCCCATTGTTTTGGTCTTTATAGAATTAGCCGCGCTTTGTATAGTATAGCATTGCTATTGGTTTGCGGTAGGAAAGAAAGGAATCGGTTTTCCATAGGCGGATTCCGCAAGCGTGAATAACCCGCTTTATTGTTTAGAGTTGTTTTCCGCAGAGAATAGGCAATTTTTGTTTTTTACGCCCACACTGTTAGTTTATGAGGAGTTTCTTCATTGTGTGACAGTGATTCAGGTGTTATACTGAGGCATCGTACAACTATTAAATAGACAGTAGAAGCCTATCCCCATTCTTTGTGTTTAATAATTGTGTATTGAGAGAAGCCATATTGTTCTGTAGAGAAAGAGGATTTCAGTGTGCTGTGCAGTTTTTCTGGTGACGCAGTGTAGGGTCGTACAGCGGTAGATGGTGCACCGTGAAATAGTAGAAGGGGCCGGGAATACGCTTGTATATGCATACACTGTGAGGAGTAGAGACATAATTCGAGTGTGATTATTACTGTGTTGGGTAAGTAATATACATATCGCCTCAGTTAGGGTTTCTAGTTGGAGGACTAGACTGTGTATAGTGGTCGGAGTCTGCCAATCCACCGTGAAAGAAGTCACCGGGCAGTGCTCTCCTAAATTGGTGCAAGGGGTTCCCCTGGACGCAGGGTTAAGATGATAAGCTGATTCGAATCGCCATGGGCAATGGGCCGTCCATGCAAGCGAAGGAAAGTGAGGCTTCCCACAGTCAAACGGCTGCACAGTACATAAAGTCTAGTTTTGGGGCGAAGGCCATGGCACCCCTTAAAGAAAGGCCTAGGTGGTCCAAGGGTACCGCTCGTGGTATCCCTCTGGAGGGGACTTTTGACGCCTGGAGATGGGAGAAATTCATAACTGAGTTTAAACCCAGACTCTGGGCAGCAAAGACCTTAGATGTAGCTCAGCTGTGGCTTCAGAAGTCTATACTGGTAAACCGGCAGGGTATACAGAAGGCTGTTTCAGTCTGGAAGAACCGCATTATGTACACCTGGCCTGAGGGGATAGCCGCAATTGGTGATCCAGTGTCGGAATCGGAAGAGGCTCTTTTTGGGCTAACTCTGCTGAGGCAGGCTGGATCCACCAATACTGGGTCTGTTGTAGTTTCTTCTGATGTTTCTGCTGTCTCCAATGCAATTAACTCTACTCTGCTCTCTCCAGCTACCACTTCTCTCTCTCCCACCTCTCCACCTGACAGTGTAACCTCTGACACTGCCAACACTCTTTCACCTCAAGCTAACTCTCTCCATCAGTCTGCTTCTGCCACATCTGGGCATCTGGGGCTTCTTCTCCTCCAACTTCTGCTAATTATGATGTTGCACCATGTTGAATCCAGCTTCTCTTCTTCCTGTTTTTGAGGACAAAGAGAAGGGGGGGGGGGGGAATACCTGCAGAAAAAAACAATTTTCAAACTTTTACTAACCATTCTAACCTCTCAACTTCTAATCAATTTTCCATTTCCAACTTAGTAGGGAATCACGTCGAGGACCACCACGACTGCTTTTCTTTGATGGAACTTGAGTCAACAGCTATCAGTCCGGTGAAGGAGACCCCAATTCCAAACTCTAAAAACCTTTTTGTCGATAGTTCCAGGTATTACACCCCAGATGGTAAGCCACACACTGGATATGCTGTAACTACAGTCAGTGAGGTTGTGGAGAAAGGCTCTTTGAGCTCACACATGTCAGCACAGGAGGCTGAGCTATGGGCACTGGCAAGGTCTTGTGAGAGCCACAAGGACCAGAGGATTAACGTCTATACAGACTCTAGGTATGCTTTTGGAATAGCACATGACTTTGGTCCAATCTGGAAAGCTAGAGTGTTTTTGACTAGTTTGGGGAAGCCGGTGAAACATGCAGAGTTGATCTATAGGCTGTTCGATGCGGCAACGCCACTACCACAGCAAAAAAGATCCTGTCTGAGATAGTGTGCTGCTGGGGCCTGCCTGAAATGATTGAGTCGGATCACAGCTCTCACTTCACCGGTCAGATTTTTGCAGAGGTATGTAAAGCTCTTCACATCAACCAGGGAATACATACTATGTATCATCCTCAGAGCAGTGGTAAGGTTGAACATCTTAACGGGATCATTAAGAACAAGATCTCAAAAATCATGGCCGATACTCGGAAACCATGGCCTGAATGTCTCGCTATAGCCCTTTATTCCATCAGGAATGCCCCAAGGCAGCCCCACGGGTTATCACCCTACGAAGTTTTGTTCAGGAGTCCCCCAAAGACGGGATTGTACTATCCTCAACAGCTGTCGTCTTTACATTCCCAACTGACGGGGTATGTGCAGTCTCTGCAGAGGGAACTCCAAAAGGTCCACCACCGGGTTCGAGAGTCTCTCCCGGACCCAGACTCAATAACCGGTGTTTATTCTATTCAACCAGGTGATTGAGTCGTGCTATTAAACATTCGAGGACGGGACTAGAGCCGAGATATCTTGGGCCATTCCAGGTGCAGCTGACGACGCCAACCTCTCTGAAGCTCGAAGGACGAGACAACTGGGTCCACGCAAGTCACTGCAAGAAGTGGCTCAACTACATCAAAGAATGAGGAGTATCATTTTCGTTTATTGTTCAGACTGAAGGGGCAATCCCCCAGTCTATCACGTTATTAATTAGTGCCAGAGACCGTCACAGAAATTCATCATGTGCAGTTCTGACAGGCCCATATTATTTCCTGTGCATTTCCGCTGCTTATAAGGTAATTCTCCCTAATGCAAGAGGTTCATGTGCTTTAGTGAAACTTGTTCCGGCATCTTACATTGCAGCCGATCAAGAGGATTTAATGGTGCACAGGAAGGCAAGGATGTCCGGGAGAGCTCATAGGGAACTGTTCTCTAGCCATGATCAAGCTTGGGCATGGTTCCCCGCGTGGACTGGATGGAGGATCGAGCTCATGAAGTGGTTGAACAATTTCTCCTCTATTGTAGACAAGATGTTCAATGAAACCGTGGGAGCTGTCAGAGAGATCACCCAGGAACAACGGCAAGTGTAGTGAAGAGTGGTGTTGCAGGACAAGATGGCTCTTGATGATCTTTTAGCATCCAAGTGGGTTTCTGTGAATTTATAGGAGAGGACTGGCTAAGATGGTAGATGCGCATACACGTGGCTGATCAGGGCAATGAACATGACTAAGCACATCATTGGCTAATGGCGCGAATTTCGGCACGTGTTTCCTTTGTTTAAAGCAAGGGTGTGCGCCTTTGCGTGCACCAGCGCAAGTGAGTCATGCATGTTTCTCTGCGCATCCACGTTGCACTCCCCTTTTCTGTTGTTCTGTAACTGTACTTTTGGGTCTGATTGGCTGATGTTGTAAAGCCACCCCCTCTGGTCGTTATCCTTTTGTGCCTTATAAATAAACAGACCTCCTGTGCTAGTCAGGACTTCCACACTGAGACACCAACTTGAATCAGCGTCTTGCCTGACTCTGCTTGGCACTACTGAGGTACTTAATTTCCTTATACCAAAGAGCTGAATACAACGTGCTTTTAAGCGCGGCGGAATTGGTTGCGCTGTGCGTGCATTGATTTCTGCAAGTGCAGCAGAGATTTGTGCGCACAACACCTTGTGTACATTAAATTGCGCATTTTTGTGAGCAGATTGTGTAACATTGATGTAAATGGGCAAACACGCATTATACACGCTTTAAAAACATGCAAAAAAACCTGCAGCAAACACGCATTGTTGAGCGTTCGTTGCCAATGAAGTCTATGGGGCCAAGAAGTGCAGAATCGGCCACAGAGTAGTTCATGTACTTTTTTCCAGTGACAGATGTGAACATGGCAACTAATGTAAAATGTTTCTTTACTCTGCCTCGAGACCCCCCCACTCCATCCATACATTACAAGCGAACAGCATCCCCGGCATCCCTTTAGCTGTAGAAGCTCCAAACTTCTCCCCCTCCATCACACAGCGCAGCATTCAGGACTAGCCCTCTCTCAGCTACATGGTAGCAGTGGAGCCAGGCACACAGTGACTGCACGGCAGATGGAGAGAATTTTGGAAGTGAGGTATGTTGCATATAGACCAGCAGCGCCGAGGCCGGCGGGGAAGTGGGACCCGACGGCCAGTCACAATTCCAATTTATATAAAGGTCTGAGTAATATTTGTGGAAGGCCCTGGCTATGTCCTCCGAGGAATGAACCAGAACCCGTCGCTGACAATGGATTTTGGAAATGTAAGTACCAGCACGTCTGGCACGAACAGAACGCGGCAGGAGTCTGCCACTCTTGTTGCCAAATTCATAGAACGTGCGCCGAGCCGAATCCCGGAATCTTAAGTAAGCAAGATCCAAAATGGAATTAAGGTCTCGGCAGCAATTGAGAAGGTCTTGATAAATGGCCAGCGTAGGCACCGCGCTGCGTTTCGCTAGAGTTCTGCAAGAGAGGTCTTGAAATAGAGAGATTTGAGCACCATTTTACGAGGCAAATGATGTACTACCCAATAAATGCATGAACAGGCAAAACAATGGCAAATAAACAGCATATAATAAAAGCACTTTAAGTATACAGATACATCTTAACTGTTTTTTTACCTATCTGCATATGTAAACAATATTGAGCTGACTAATGTAATTCTATCTGAAACAGAAAACTGTGGAGGCAAAGTCTTATTCCAAACAGACCCGGGTCTTAAACCTACTGGCCAGTGGTATTTAAGCTGGCTAGCCATCGGTGGGGCCCAAGCTCTGCTTGTACAGATGGTTTAAATGCAATATCACAGTGGCCAACGGCCTCTGACCACTCTAGCAGCTTGGATTGTGGCTCCCCACATCAGTTGGTGAAAGAAGGTTGTTTCTTCTCTCCAGCCAACAGCTTTCCAGGTTCCAGCAGCAGCTTGTGCCGCACAATAGCAGTAGTGATGCTTGCAGCACGTCTCTGTAGAATCCCATCATTCAGGAAAGGGGTGATAGGGTCTCTTTCTGGTACAGCAGCCACTGGATTCCCTCACCAGTTCATGCAATGTTTGCCACACTGCAGAAGAGTCTTTCAGCAGGATCCCTCAGTAGGAGAGCAGACAGTGTGAGACACTGGAATCGCAGATACTGTTCAGCAGACAGTGATCATCAGCAAACACCTCAGGTTTTATCTCTCCCCTGAGAGGATGCGCGGGCTATCACCGTCCTTTGCTCATCCTCAGAGATATTCCAGCACACTGGCAGATCATCACAAGAACCCCCACAGCGCCTTCCAGTCCGCAGGTGTGATGTTAGGGCCGTGCAACACAACACACACACAAATGAACTAATCTCAGCTGCCTCCACCCACAACTTATAGGCTTGTGGGAATCTTCCACTGGACTCCTAGTCTGTACACTCTGCCCTTAAGCAGACTGGCACACAGGCTTTGCAGACTCCACACACTGCTCTCACTAGCAGGTATAGGTTAGCTAAAACAGGCACAATTACCTCTAGAGTTAGTACCTCCATTCACAGTCTCCTGCACTATTGCTGGCCATCACTGGAGGGAGACTCACCAAACTCAAGCTGGCTGGACACACATACAGGCAGATGAAAATCTTGCATACATTCTAGTGTATTCTAATGGTTGTGTGACAGCCTCACACCCACTAAGATTCCCCAAGCTATCCTCCCAGCTAGAACCTTGACGTACCCACTTCTTACACTGCACACACACACCCACATCAGACACACAGATCCCTGCCTGGCAATGACTTACAACCAAACTTCTAGGCACAGATGATACAATCAATCGACTAAACACATACAACAGACACACAACAGTCTTTTCAGATTTGGGCGTTCCTTTAGAGCCGTCAAAAAACAGCTTATTAATTTTATATTTTATAACTCTAGACGGGCAGTGCATAAAAAAGGTAGTTACAAAAAATAGACGTTACAAGCAAACAGGATGAAAATTAAATGGGATAAAACTTGTCTTCAGGTATTATTCTTCTATTGACAATCTTTTAACCCTCATAACTATTTCTAGTTATGAATTATGGATCAAAAAGTGAGGGTTCAGGTTCCAGGTACTGTTCTGCTATACACAGAGTTCAAACTCCAGCACTCTATGGCTAACAGAACCAGAAATACCATGAAGACACCCAATTATCAGGACTCATCCATACTGTATGGTAAAAGTCTTATGTTAAATATCAGTCAGCTCACCTATGTGCCACTACTCTTTCCCTGAAGGTTCTACGGTTATATTATGTATGGAACAGCAATTATAAGATATGGCCTTTTTAAAGCATTTTGAATATTGAAATACACACAAGGTGAGGTGACACTTTTGTCAATCTGGTGATAAATCCAGCCTGGAGACACTTTGACTGCAACCTCCAGGAAGGTTTACATTGCTGCATGGTTCCTTGCTGGGGAAGCACAAACAAACCCACATTTGGTTCAATTAACACATTTTAGCTAACAAGTTAATGCAAATTGTTTGGTTAGCTTCTAGACTGCATTCAATAAAATTATTGATTTTCAGGATGTCTTATGACAAGAGGCCAAAAAATATGAAGTATTTAATACACTGTTCTTTTAAAAGTGTTTAGCAAAGGTCATGGGTATCTTACTTCCTATAAAATGTTTATCTGTAAAAGTTTATGAAAAGGGACCTAAACTTAGAATTCACGGAAAGAAAATAAATCATTTTAGCTGAATGTTGAAACTGTGGCTGATAGGGTGCCAAGACGTTCTTTTGAAGGACTGCATACTTTTGCTATTTCTTTGGAGTGTCCCGTACAGCATCATTGGTTGCTAGGAGGGAGGTTTAGTTGACGAGGGAACTGGTCAAATAGTTTGCCCACTTGGCGAACTGCGAACAGCTTGGGTTTAGGTAGAGCTCATGGTTGAGTTGGTTCATGTCATTCTTTTCTTTTATCAGAATACTCCTTGCACTGTTATACTGGTTGTCTCCTTGTGCAGTTTCTCCTTCCTTCTCTCTGAGCCCTGCAGTAGAGTTGGGCTTGATGTTTGAGTCGAACGTGAGTTTGATTCTAACATCGCTAGTTCATGTTTTCGCTTCATGACCATACCCCCAGCCTACCCCACCTCAAGCTGACACTTGGCACCAAGAAGCATATTTGGAATGGCTGCTCGGCACGAGAACTGACAGTGCTAAGCTGGGGGGAGGCTGAGGAGCCTCTCACCTAGAAAAGTGGAAGGCACACAGGGACCCACTGAACACGGGGTCGCGACCCACTTTTGGGTCACAACCCTCCAGTTGAGAACCAAGGGGCTAAAGGCTTGCACCTGACCACAGGTCAGGAGCAAGACTTTTCCCAATCGGGGCACAGATAACTGTGAGATCCATGATTGGGCAAAGGCATGATGACTTTGCCCAATAATTGCTCCCTGCTAAGTCCCAGCAGCACACTACAGTATATAAGGCTGCTTATGCCGCAGCCCTATGTAGTGTTTTGCTGGAGTTTAAAGAGAGACTTTACTATCATTGTTCTATCAGCATTCTATCAGCGTTCTATCAGCATTCTATCGGCGTTCTATCAGTGTACTATAGCAGTCTATAATTGCAGTCTACTATAGCAGTCAGTCATAGCAGTCTATTATTGCAGTGTGTTATAGCAGTCTATTATAACAGTTGATTAAAGCAGTCAATTAAAGCAGTCGATTATAGCAGTTAATTATAAAAGTCAATTATAGCAGTTGATTATAACAGTCGATTATTGCAGACGATTATTGCAGTCTATTGCAATATGCATCATGTCTGAAAGGCCAACAAGGAGAGGCAGGCGCTCACATCCAGCAATAAGAGAGCAAGCAGCCTCTTTGTCCGCAGGCAAACGTCATGGTCGTGGACATGCTGCATCCTCTCCAGGCAGGGCATGCTTGTCCTTTTTATCTGGTGCTGGCCTTATTATTCTGCCACAACATACAGAAGATGTGGTGGATTGGGTAACTAAGCCATCCTCATCCTCCTCATCCTCTGTCACCCGGGCTCATACTGGTTCTCAGTCCACTGCAGCTGCCAAAGCGGCCTATTCTGCCTCCTTGTCTACAGCTACTCCTTCCATAGCCCCACCATCATGCATGGAGGAGTCAGCTGATTTGTTTGAACACAGCGTCAGTGACATGCTGCTGGGACATGCGCAGCAATTAGAATGGTCTAATGTTGGTGCTGAGGTTGAGGAACCTGCTGTTCTACTTGAGCCTAGAGAGAGGTGGTGCCAATGATGGACAACAAACTGGTGTTCATGTTCCCCCAGCCGCAGCATACTGCCAGGTTGGCTCCAGTGATGTGGACAGAGGGGATTAGGTGATGATGAGATCACTGACTCTACTTGGGTGCCTGATCTAACAGAGGAGGAAAGTGAGGAGGAGGCACAACCCCAACGGGGCAGGATGTCCTCCAGGAGCAGCCATAAGAGTACTCACCCTATTGCATCAGACGGCAGAGCTGCATAGGTGCAAGATACAGTCCGTGTACCCATCGCACTCAGAGACGCTGCTCCAAAAAGGGAAGGTGGGTGCAGCAAGTGTCAGTGGGTGGCTTTCGACAAAATATAAGTAAAGGATGGAAACCGGCACTCCAAAGCAAGTTCAGTACGTGTTTATTAACGTACTAGTTGCAAGTAGAACACTCTAAACAACGTTTCGGGGTCTCACAGGATCCCCTTCATCAGGCAAACAAGTGATGAACAAGTCACTTGTTTGCCTGATGAAGGGGATCCTGTGAGACCCTGAAACTTTGTTTAGAGTGTTCTACTTGCAACTAGTACATTAATAAACCCTTACTAAACTTGCTTTGGAGTGCCGGTGTCCATCCTTTACTGCATAGGTGCAAGGTGCTGTTGTCTCCAAGCAAACTACCAGGAACTCAACTGTGTAAGAATTTTTCAGCACATGTGCAGCAGACTGCAGCTTTGATATATGCAATCTGTGTCTCAAGCGGATCAAGCGTGGCAAAAACATCAACTTGGGTACCACGTGTTTGAAGAGGCATCTGACCACCTGCCACGCAGCCCGTTGGCAACAGCACCATAGAAAGGTCCACACTTCTCCTTGCTCCTCATCTGTCATCTCTACTCACACTATACATCATGCCATGTCAACAGCATCCACTGAGAGGGATGATGGTATAGCAATGGGTGTTACAGGTCCTTCCGCCAAATCTGCCAGCAGCCCACCAACTGTAGATTTGACCAGTCAAATTTAACTGCCCCAGATGCTGCAGCGAGAAAAAAACACTATCCCACCCATCCACATGCTCAGCATCCAAATGCCAGCTTGGCCAAATTGCTAGATTTACAACTGCTGCCTTTCCATCTGGTGGACTATGCCCCCCTTCCGTGAGTTTGCAGAATGTGCTGTACCACAGTGGTAGGTCCCAAACGCTAATTCTTTTCACGTAAGGCCATTCCAGCTCTGTACCATCATGTGAAAGGCAATGTT